CAACAACTGGTGCTGGAACAACTGGACATCTATCTGCAAAAACACACACCAGACACAGAACTTAAACCTTTACAAAAATTAACTCAAAACAGATCATAGACCTCAACTGTAGAGTGCAAAACTATACAACTTCTAGAAAATAACAGCAGAGAAAATCTAAATGGCATTGGGCGAGGCAGTGTGTATTTAGCTACAAGATCAAAAGTATGATCAATGCAAGAAAAGAGGTAAGTTGGACTTCATTAAAATGGAAACTTCTGCTCTGCAAAAGAAAATGTTAAAAGAAAAAAAAAAAAAAGCCACAACTTGAAAGAGAATATTTGCAAAGCCCATACCTGATAAAGGACTTGCATTCAAAATACACAAAAAACTCTTAAAACTCAACAATTAAAAATATCCTCAATTCATAAATGAGCAAATGATGTAAACAGGCACGAAGAAGATATACAAAGGCCAAGGATCACATAAGGAAAGATGCTCCACGTTATATGTCATCAGGAACTACAAATTAAAACAACAATGGGACGCCACTACAAACCAATGCGAATAGATAAATTCCAAAAAACTTACAATATCAAATGCTGGTGAGGCTATGCAGCAACAAGGACTCACATTCCTTGCTGCTGGGAATGCGAAATCTCACAGCCACTTTGGAAGGTGGTTTGGCAGGTTTTTTTGGTTTGTTTGTTTTTTGTTTTGTTTTTATAAAGCGAAGCACACTCTTACCATACCTTTCAGCAATCACACTCCTAGGTATTTACTCAGTTGAGTTAGAAACTTACGTCTATACAAAATCCGTCACATAAATATTTATAAAAGCTTTATTCTTAATAACCAAAAACGTGAAACAACTAAGATGTCCTTTGATAGGTGAATGGATAAACAGACCGTGATACCTTCATACAGTGGAGTTTTATTCAGTACTAAAAAGAAATGAGCCAGGAACAGACATGAAGAAAACTTAAATACACATTGATATGTTAAGGAAGCCAGTTTGAAAGACTACAGACTGTATGATTCCATTGATACGGCATTCTGGAAAAGGCAAAACTACAGAGATAGTAGAAAGTTCAACAATTGCCTGGAATTCAAGGGCAAGAGGGAGAGATGAATAAATGAAGCACAGGGGATTTTTAAGGTTACCAAACAACTGTTCTGAATGACGGCCACGGTGGATAAGTGGCAATACGCATTTGTCCAAAAAAATGTAGAAATGTACAACAGAAAGTTTGAATCCTGATGTAAGGGGATTCTATAAGGTAATTCAGTAATTTGAGAGATACCAGCAAAAACTACAGAAAAAATTTAATCATCTTACAAATGTATGGGAGAACTTCACTGAATAAGGTGGAGGAAAATGTACTAAATCGTTTTGGAAATGAATCTGTAAAACTAAAGGCAAAAAGAATTGCACGTAAGTACTATACCCTATTGGTAAACATGTTCCCCATGGTATTCTCAGTTAGTAAATCTGATACTGTTAAACATACATGCTGGAACTGAACAGTAAGTCAATGGATGGCGATGGTTCGATCTAGATTACTCACAGTTGGGGTGGGAATGTGCCCATCAATAAGGAATGAGGGGGGAATGATCCATGGGAGGGACTACAGTTGCGGACAATAGTAAGAACTCATGTTTACCTTAATATATAGACAATTCAACATAGAAATATTTACAGATATATATATATATATATATATATATATGGGTTAGCACACACATCTATTTCTTCATTTTGTCAGGTAAGAGGCCCTAAAGAAAGGAAGCCTTATGAGCAAAGAGCACACCCTGTATCCAGATCTGGCTTTCTAATACCATTCTCCAAAAAAAGGAACCAGGGTTTCCTAGAGAAACGACTGATTCTTGAACCGGAGCATGAGATACACAACATGAGTCTGAAGCACCTTACAGTACAAGAAAGTGGGAAGGGCTCCAGAAAAAAATTACCTACAATCACAGTGGTATATCAAAATGACACAGAAGTCAATAGAAAGAGCTTCCAATGTCCAAAGCTGAAACAATTTGAGCAACAAAATAAAGTAGAATTGGATTATAAGTCAAAGTATAAAATACCCATGCTGTCCATACTGATATAAATAAATGATTGAATAAATTAATATATGATGGAGAAGAGATAAATCTCCCATGCAGAAGAATTCCAAATAAATTATGTAGAAACTCTGTTCTGAAGGAGGGGGAACATAACTCCCTACTCCTTAAATGTGGGTTGCACATAGCATCTTCCTTCCAAAGAGTGTGGTATGGAAAGGGGGCAGGAAATAACTTTATAGTGCAGTACCCTCACAAACACTGTACCAGCCAGATGATCAAGGTCAACATCAAATTCGTAAATCATATAGAGTGTATGTACCTTTGATATGATGTGACAGAAAGGTATTTTACCTCATTATCTTCCTCCCCAAACCTATAACCCCAGTTTAGTCAAGAGAAAACCACCAGATAAATCCCAATAGAGAATGTATCGCATGGAGCACTGGGTGTGGTGCATAAATAATGAATTTTGGAACACTAAAAAAACACTAAAAAAAAAAATAAATAAATAAGAGGAGATGCAACATGGGGGGTTAAGGGGGTAGGAGAAGAGTAAATGAAACAAGATGGGATTGGGAGGGAGACAAACCATAAGTGACTCTTAATCTCACAAAACAAACTGAGGGTTGAGGGGGGGAGGGGGGTTGGGAGGGGGGTGGGGTTATGGACATTGGGGAGGGTATGTGCTATGGTGAGTGCTGTGAAGTGTGTAAACCTGGAGATTCACAGACCTGTACCCCTGGGGATAAAAATATATGTTTATAAAAAATAAAATTAAAATTTAAATAAATAAATAAATAAATAAATAAATAAATCCCAATAGAGGGACATTCTACAATATATCTGAACAGTATTCCTCAAAACTTCCAAGGTATCAGAAACAAAAGCAGTCTGAGAAACTGTCACAGCTAAAGGGAACCCAAGGAGACATGACAATTAAATGTAACATGTTATCGTTGAGGGCATCCTAAAACAGAAAGAGCACACTTGGTGAAGACTCATGAACTATGAATAAACTGTGGACTTTAGTTAATGATAATGTATGACAATATAAAAGACAAAAAATAATTTTAAAAGCATAAAATTATTCATGCAAAATGAACAGAATATGTAAAATTAAAGATAAGAAAGAAATGCATCATAAGGTTAAGAGTTGTTATATCATATGGTTTCATTTACTTGTGCAGCATAAGGAATAACACAGAAGACATTGCGGGGAGGAGAGGAGAAGTGAGCTGGGGGAAATCGGAGGGGGAGACAAACCATGAGATACTGTGAATTCTGAAAAACAAACTGAGGGTTTTGGAGGGGAGGGAGTGGGGTGTTGGGTGAGCCTCGTGGTGGGTATTAAGGAGGGTACGTATTGCATGGAGCACTGCATGGTGTGGTGGTGGATAAACAGTGAATTTTGGGATACTGAAAAAAAATTAATTCAATTAAAAAAAGAGTTGTTATATCAGAAAGCTATAAAATTAAGCAATTTTGATTTTCCTTTCAATTTTTATGGTTTTTTAAAACACTTCTTAAATAAGAAGATAGTATTTTTAATATCAAGAAAAATTCCAGCACATTAAAAAAATTGTCTAGGTCCTCCTCAAAACCCCATTTTTATCTCCACGTGGATGAAAGCCAAAAGTCTTTGGCTGACTAGATTATCTCTAAAATTCTTTCCAACTGTAAGATCATGTGAATTACATAAATTATAACTAAAATCCATGTCCCAGCTATGCATCTGGTAGGGACCCAGAAATATTTAATTACCATATGACTCCCAAATATACTGGTTAACATACATTTTGTGCCATATATACTCATAATTTGCTAGTGTCCTAACAACAGACTAGAAATGAGCCCAACCCAGTGTTAGATAGTATAGATGCAGTATATTTTTGGTATAAAATATGTCTTTTTATGTCACTATTTTTTGTTTGTTTGTTTTAAATTTCCATCTGACTTTTAAATAGGAGGCATGTTCTTATGTGCAACGTGGCACACAAACTTAGGAAGAACACAGGTTTAAGTAGGTGGTAGGAAACATCTGTAACATAAAGGGTGACTATCACCTATGCATAAATTCTATAATAGGCATCAGTTGTTTGTTTGCCTTATTTATTTATTTTTAATATTTTTATTTATTTATTTGAGAGAGAGAGAGAGAGAACACAGAGGGAGATGGAGAAGATGATTCCCTGGTGAGCAGAGAGTCCTGTGTGGGGCTGGATCCCAGGACCCTGAGATCATGATCTGAGCCCAAAGCAGATACTTAACCAACTGAGCCACCCAGGGGCCCCAGTTTGTTTGCTTTAATTTTAACGTATCTCATGTGCAGATCACCTATAGGCTACTATCAGTAACTACTGAAGTAATTTAGAAGATGAAATCTTAAAAAGAAAGGCATCCTGGAAGTTAAACAAAATGGAAACTTCAGCATGGCTAACAGAATTAAAGAATCAATAATTTTTAAATATAGAGCAGGCCTAACCATATTAATTCTGGACTATATAAGAAACAGATGAAACTAAGGTAGCATTATGATGCATTCATGTATAAGTAAGGTCATACAATTTAATAAAGTTGTAAAATGGCCTTGGGGACAAAAACTGGAGTTGAACACACAAGCCTGCAGATATTTGGGACGTAGGTGGTACCTATTCTGGGCTCTGCTGTCACATTCTATTCTTGAATCTTTAAGTTTTACTCAACCACAACTTACCCATGTGTGAAAGTGAGGAAGACATCACAACAGAAAATAATGATTTAAAAAAAATCGGGACAGACATTGGAATGTTTCTGGGAAAAAAAAAATCTATCCATCTTCATAACATTAGGTTTCCATGTTGTCCAATTTAACTTTGAGTATAAGTCAAAAAACAGATCTAGAAGTTAAACTCCAAATGTTAAAGTCAGGAGATGGCAACCACTTTGTTCCCTTTTCTAGGCTTTACCTTCTGGCTCATTTTTGATGAGCTCTTCCATTTTCCTCTGCTTCAAGGTGTCAACAACGTCAGCTAAGCTGCCTTTGCGCCGTTCGGGAGTTCCTAGGGCCGTGCTTGACAAGGACTCACCACTCTGTCTCCCACCTTCTTCTGCCTTCTGAGGTGAGGTAGATGAGTTGTGTGGGGCAAATGAAGACATAACTTTATTGCCATCAACTTCCTGAAAGAGAAAGCAAAGGGAAAAAAAATGTTTAAAATTCAGTGAATTTTTTTTTAATTGCTTACGTGGCTTATTTAGCTAAAACATGAAAAAGTGAAATGTCACTCTGCTAGAGTAAGATAAATAAATAATTTAAAAAAAAGAATGCATTAACTTTACAGGCTGGCACAGAGTGAGTCAAAGATCAATTCATACAAGAAATAAAAATACGGAGACCCTCTCCCTTAGGCTGAGAACAAGTGGCAATAAAGCCTTATACAAAGCCTATACTGATCAGATGTATTTTTCTGCTTTTCTTTGAAAAGTCTTAGATTTTCCTAGGGACATTAAATGCACCAGTCATCTTGCTTAAACATCCTCATGATACTGTAATATTTAAACAAGTTACATTCTGCACTTCGCTTTTCGTTTTAACCGGCTGCCTTTTCTTGATGGTTGCTCCTAATTAAAGCAGGGTCCTTTTTTAGTTCTCCACCTCCCTCTCACGCTTTTAAGAAAGCATCAGCCACACAGGTTATTTTGACATCAGATAGGAATATTGAAAGTTTATTTCTGCTTATGCCAAAGACATTTCTAAATCCATTTGTTACCCCAAGCATTGTTTCTGTCAATATTCTTCCAGATTTTGCACTTTAAGCCTCACATGCCCTATAAAATAAAGTTTCTTATAACCTTTCCCTCTTCATCATTGTGTATGTGTATGAAAAGATAATTCTAAAATTTAAACATAAACATTTGGTGTTCTTTTCGTCATTATTTTCCCCATAATGTCTTGACCAACTCTAGCCATCTAACATTTGGGCTTTCTTTTGTATAAAAGGCACTAAATTGATTTCTCCAATAACTGTGAGAGGAATGATATTGAAATGATATAAAATAACTTTCTCACTTAAAGGTTTTCTTTTTATAATCTTTTACTTCTACAATCCTTTGATTTTCCACAAAGCAGATCTCTTCTTTAAAATTATATCCTGGTAACCTGGGTGGCTCAGTCAATGAAGCACCTGCCTTTGGTTCAGGTTGAGATCGAGTCTCATATCAGGCACCCTGATCAGCAGGGAGCCTGCTTCTCCCTCTGTCTGCTGCTCCCCCTGCTTGTGTTCCCTTTCTCTCACTCTCTCTCTCCCACTCTCACAATAAATAAATAAATAAATAAATAAAATCTTTAAAAAATAAACAAAATTGTATCCTAAGATCTTTGAGGAAGTTAGTCTCTCTGTAAGTATATTTCTTAATTCTATAGTACTAAATGTTTTCATTAAAATATATTTAAATGTACGCACACCTAATATTCAGGATAACAGGTTATATGCCTTTTATACATTTCTTCTCTAAATGTATTAATAGGATCTCCTGACCCCAGAAAAATGACAGATCACACTGATTTGATATCTAATGATTTTAAGATTATTTCTAATATATTTGACTAGCTTAAAAATATATTAAAAAGGCTTGATAAAACTGTCATTTCAATTTTTAAAAACAAATTAAAAATAGAGATGTTGGGCGCCTGGGTGGCTCAGTTGGTTGAGTGACTGCCTTTGGCTTGTCATGATCCTGGAGTACCGGAATTGAGTCCCACCATCGGGCTCCCAGGGAGTCTGCTTCTCCCTCTGCTCTTCTCCTCTCTCATGTTCTCTCTCACTGTCTCTCTCTCAAATAAATAAATAAAATCTTTTAAAAAATAAATAAAAATAGAGATGTCGACGCACACATAATCATAATCTGTTTATATGATTTTTTTGTTAGTGGATAATAGTGAAAGAAGGACATTAGCTATGGTGCAAGTGTCAGTTTGTTGGGTGGTACTAGGATGTGTGGAAAAAGTCAAAGTAAAAAATGTGTGCAAACAGAATCTTCAAAATTATAATTCTACACTCAAAATGGTTTCCATTTCTTACAAACATGACAGAATATGCAGAAAACATTACTATGTCTTGAATGAATATTCTATAGACAATACATTCAAAGATGAATCTTAGCTTATTATGTACTTGGATTTAGAAATCCATATGCATAATGTAATCATTCCAAACCCCTGCAGGCTAAATGAAGGTACACTTCTAGAATTATTTATTGAAAACCCACACATAAATACAAGCAAACCCATAAATGTGCACACATACACACACACATCCCTGACAAGAGCAATCATAAATCCATTCAGTAAACTAAGGAGTGTTTTTATGAATGGCCCATAATACACATTAGCTCAGTTTCGTGTTCAAACCAGAATATAGCAAAACCTTTGTATTCATTTTTCCACAGATCTTTCTTCTCACTATTTCCAGGGTCAAAGCAGAAAAACCCAATGTTGAACATTTCTGTTCCGTCCTCCGTTTTCACAGTATAGGATGACAGACTTACTAAACAGGAGTTTGGCTGCTGAACTTCATTTTCCATAGCTGAAAATTACATATATCTTTCTATAGCCTCTTCGGTAGAGTAAAAGACACCCAAATTGTATACAATCACATCTATTAAAATATCAGAAACTATTTCAAAATCAAGTAAGGTAAAATAACACCCCATCTTGTATGTCTCTAATTTTCTACACCTTGCAAGACACAAGGACGTATTTTAAAGAGTTTAACATCATTTCACTAGTATTCTAAACTCAGTTACCAAAACAGTACTAAAAATGAATTATAACTGCAATTTCATGCGCAAATATTTTATCTTATCACTATTTCACCTGTCTGATTACATTTCAGCCTCTAGCACCGTTAATCCCTTTAACAGTTTACATAGTTAACAGATGTTTCTGTGTGGGACTCTATTGTTCATTTGCATGGTGAAGAGCTTGTTAAAGAACGCTGGTGCAGTCTTCAGTCAAGAAAGTCCTGTAATTTTCAGTTTCTTTTCTGGAATTACAGTTACCATATCTGCAGTAATGACTGCATTTTCCTCTTCATTTGCTGGTAGGTGAACATCCAGAGAGCCCACTAATAGAAGTATTAGTGGTCCAAACCAGCAAAATATAGTTCATCAGATTTTTGTGAATGCTAAAGGCAAGCTTCAGTATTTTGCCGTGAACTCTCACAACTGTGATACTCAATTTCTAAGGCCTAATGATAAAAGAGGGTTCCAAACTTTTAGAACAAAGTTGGTAATCTTCCTTTGCTACACTTGAAAAAGCTTTACTTAATTCTGCCCCCCTCTGTCACCTATGCAATCATAAGACAGAGAGAGGGATCTGCCTAGTGTATCTATCTTTATTTAAGTAACTTAAAAAAAAAACGCATTCTTAAACTGGAAGAAGCCATTCTGGAAAACAGTATGGAGGTTCTTCAAAAAGTTAAAAAGAGAACTACCCTAAGACCCAGCAATTGCACTACCAGGTATTTGCTCAAAGAATACAAAAATACTGAGTCAAGGGCACCTGGGTAGCTCGGTGGGTTAAGCCTCTGCCTTTGGCTCAGGTCATAATCTAGGGGTTCTCGGATTAAGCCCCACATTCGGCTCTCTGTTCAGCAGGGAGCCTGCTTCCCACCCCGCCCCTGCCTGCCTCTCTGCCTTCTTGTGATCTCTGTCAAATAAATAAATAAAATCTTTAAAAAAAATACTGAGTCAAAGGGGCACATGCACCCCAATGTTTATAGCAGCATTATCAACAATAGCCAAACTATGGAAGTATGGAAAGAGCCCAACTGTCCATCAACTAATGAACGGATACAGAAGATGCATGTGTGCATGCATGTGCACGCACACACACACACAGGAATATTACTTAGCCATCACAAAGAATGAAATCTTGCCATTTGCAATGAAATGGAGTTAAGAGTGCATTATGCTAAGCAAAATAAGTCAGTCAGAGAAAGACAAATACCATATGATTTCACTGACATGTAGAGTTTGAAATGAAACAGATGAGCACGGGGGAAAAAAGAGAAAGGCAAACCGTAAAATGAACTCTCGACTATAAAGAGCAAACTGAGGGTTACTGAGGGAAGGTAGGCGGATGGGTTAAATGGGTAACCGGTATTAAGGAGGGTACTTGTGATAAACAGAGTGTTATATATAAGTGATGAGTCATTAAATTCTACTCCCGAAACTACTATTACATTATATGTTAACTAATTAGAATTTAAATAAAAAATTGAAAAAATGCATTCTTGTTAATTCATTCTAAATATAGCACTTTGTTATGAACACTTTGTGAGATATATTTCAACATCAATATTCAAATTTTAGTTTAGATAATGTTACGATTAAAAAGAATTAATTCATTTGAAAAAAGACGTTATATGTAACTCAACCAGACCTAATGTTCCTTTCAGCTTCCAAATGTCATTTCATCCTTGACTTCTGGCCTCAAGAAATACATTACCATATTTACTTTTCAGTCCTATACTCTCAAGTTAAATTAATACAGGGTAGCAAGAACACTACATTTAATAGTTTGTATATCCAACTATAATTGGTAAGAATAGCCAATATTTACTGAATATTACTTTGTGTCAGGCACTGTTTAACATGTGCTACATGCATTAATTCATTTAATTCTCCTGGCAAGCCTAATTATGATTTGCTCTTCATAGCTGGAGAAACTGAGGGATATGGATTGAAGTAAATGCATGAGATCGTATAATTAATAAAAGATTAGGTAATCAACTGCAACCTGATGGGCACCAGAACCCTCAACCACAGTGCTAATACTATCTCTTTTTAAAAACAACAACAATGAGTGATGCATGGGTGGCTCAGTTGGTTAAGCATCTTCCTTCGGCTTGGGTCATGATCCCAGGATCCTGGGATGGAGTCCTGTGTCATGTTCTCTACTCAGCAGGGAGTCTGCCTCTCCCTCTCCTCCCAACTGTGGTCTCTCTTTCTCTCTCAAATAAATAAATAAAATCTTTAACAATAACAACAACAAATACCTAAGTATGTTTATGTTAATGTTATAGATGAACAAGATGCACTGTCATCTGCTTAATAATCATGAAAATGAGAGGGTTTTGCCCCAATATGTCCAACTCTTAAAGGAAAAGTTACATAAA